TGCTTAAATGAACTATTTAAAACTGTCTAAAAAATTCCTCATCCCATTCTCATGATTTTTAAAAAATATATAATTATGTGTTCACAGGGACAGAAGAAAAAACAAAGTAGTTAATCAATCTACGGATTAAAAATGAGTCTCTTTACTAAAAAGAGGAATGCTGCAAAGCAGGGATGGAGGTGAGATTGCCCAGATTAATTAATAAAGTTCATCTGTGAATGTGTAAACTGTGTCTATAAAATATGAACAAGTTAATTACTTTGATTACACTGCACTGTATCTCTTATCTGACTTATTAGAGTTTTTTTTAATTTAACTCATTTTAATTAATATTTAAATGTTTTTTTTAATAGCCTGCTGCTCTGTTTTGCTTTCACAAAGGATCTGTCGGTATCCATGGTTACATCTGCTTCCTTCTTCCGGTAGAGTGGCGAGGGCGTCCCATGGTTTTGCTTCTCTTTCATACACTTCCCCTCAATCAGGAGTGGCCTCCGCAGCTGCGAGTGTAACTTGATTTGGAGTGACACTCGGTAGTGAAGTAGTAGTGGGTAGGGAGTGGTTTGGGAATGGGCTTGTGTGTGTGTGTGTGTGTGTGTGTGTGTGTGTGTGTGTGTGTGTGTGTGTGTGTGTGTGTGTCCTGTGGGTTCTCCTGCCCTCCTCTCTGCCTGCAGGTGTCGCTGTGGTGCTGCAGCCAGACGTGTCTCGGAACAACTTGTTCCACCAACGAAGAAGAAAGACGAGTTCCTCACTGCAGAGATCCTGTATTCTGTGAAGATGCTTCACACTGAGCTCAAACACAGGAACAGACTGCGCCTGCGTCACTGCAGGAGACTCACACACGTACTCAGAAATACTCAGTTACATTTAATGCGTTCAAAATTAAACTCAAGTAAAAGTACAAAAGTAACTATGAGCACCAAAAAAGTACCAAAAGTAAAAGTAGTCAGTTTGCAGACTGGCCCAGTTTGGAGCCATATATATTATTATTATTGGTGCATTCATGTGTTCATCACTCTAACGTTGCAGCTGCTGAAGGTGGAGCTCATTTAAAAACACATCATATTTTATGTGATGATTATATTTTGTATTAATGATCAGAATCTATAAATAAATGTAGTCAGCTGTCTGCGGCTCAGTTGATGTGACGTATCGTCTGCTGTGCAAAGGATTGTGGGTAGGTGGTGTTTCTGTCATACTGTGTGCTGGGACATGGTTCATCTGTTCCTGCCACAGTTCAGTAGTACGAGTATCAGAACACACAGCGTGGTTTAAAAAGAATCACAATGATCCAGTCAGGTGGGCGTTCATGGTTGTGAGGGTGTTCTGTAGATGTGGAGCACACTGAGCTGCACATGTGGGTCAAAGGTCAAGTCCATCAGACTCAGGATGTGAGGGGCGTGGCCTCTTAAATTTAAATTCTGGGCCTTAATCATAGCGCCCCCATCTGGCGTCAGTTTGTGCAGCAGCTCTCACACACTGGTGACAAAAGTCTGTGATGAACTGTCTCATGGCAACATCCCATAATAACAATAATAATAATGATAATAAGATATTATTGTTATTATTGTTTAGTCTTCAGCGCAGGACCTGAGCCGCAGTATCTCCTCAGTATCAGATCAAAGATGAGAACAAACAGTTGAACACGTTCAGACTGGAAACAGGAAGCAGTGTTTTTAGTGACAGCGGAAACAGCGTCAGAGTGAGCGCTCTGTCTGCTTCCTGCTCTGTGCTCAGTGTTTTAGGAAACGTGGCCTTAGACCGTGAAGCTCCATCATCATCATCAGCAGCAGCAGCAGCAGCAGCAGTGGATGAATGAGCAGCACCGTCTGTCACCTCTCGATCCCGTCTCTCAACTGAACCATGTCCTCCGACACGGAACAAGTCCCGGCCTCGGCCCCGGAGGCCGCCGCCGCCGTCCTGGACGCCCTGAACGCGACGGACTCCAACGGGACCGAGGCGCTCAACGTTACGGCTAAATTCGTGGCCACTCCGGAGGGCACTGCGCTGGCGTACGGCAGCCTGGTGTTCATGGCTCTGCTGCCCATCTTCTTCGGAGCCCTGCGCTCCGTGTCCTGCTCCAAATCCAAGGTGAGACCCGGCGGCAGCTCGCCGAGCACCGAGCCCGGTGAGGCGGCTTCACCACGGCCAGCCCGCCGTTAGCTTCCACCGGTTAGCTAGTTCCGCTAACAGCTAGCTAACGGCTCCGTCCACACACTAATGTGTTCAATATTATTATTTAAATTAAACAGTGATAAAGTCCCCGGATGCAGATCAACACTGTCTGACATTAATTATAAATATTAATTAAATCAGATTACAATGAGCGGAGACACGGCGGAGCTTCCGTCACAGCTGTTCACACTGTTACCGTTAATTTTCCGCTAATTAATAACTGACATCAGTTTTATTTCAACCTGTTGGACACCGGTGTCCTCTGACGTCCTTCCGGTCTCGTGCTGGTGATGTCAGGGTCTTAAAAAGGGTCAAAAACAAAAATATTGATTATTTATGTTTGTCCGGTGATGGACACTGTTGGTGGGACACTTGTTTGTTTGTTTGTTTACACTTCTGTCCCCCAGGTGTTTGTTTACACTTCTGTCCCCCTGTTATTTATTTACATTTATGTGTCCTGGTATTTTTGACCTGTCTGTGCAGCAGGTGTGATGAGGACACCTGGACAGGTGTGATGAGGACACCTGGACAGGTGGACACAGTCAGATAAATGAAACAGAAGAAGACACAGAGGATTTTGGGGGAAGATTCTGATGAGCTAAATAAAGTTGTAAACAAAGAGCTGATGATGATAATGAAGGGTGAAGGAGGTGAAGATGTCCGACAGGTGTTGACGTGTACCTGAACACAGCCTCAGGTGTGTGTTTGGGATTACTTACACTCTGATTGGACGTTTTGTGGAGACATGCTCAGGTGTGCCTGTTAGCTTCAGGTAGCATGGTCTCTGTAGCTCAGAGCTTCAGTGTCACTGTGAGGTGGACTCACCTGTACTTTACCTGAGTGCTTCCTCTTTATGCTGCTTCCTGCTTTGACTCCTCTGTGTTTATCTGATGCTTCTGTCACTTGGTAGTTTACAGGTTCAGATCCTTCAGATAAACAGATGAAGTCATGAATAAATGAGGACGTTTCTTTACAGGTGAAACGACTCAGCAGCATGTCAACACATATAAACTGTTCTGAGTGACACATGAACACAGCAGAGATTATAACACAGCACAGTGATAGAAATATCATGAACCATTCTGCAGAATCACAACTTTAACTTGTGTTACTTTAGATTTAGTTTAATCATGATAGATGTGTGTTTTGATTCAAAGCTCAGTGTGTCGGATTTACAGAAAATATGATCTGATCACTGTGTAATAAGCTGAAAATACCAAACCCTGTTTTTTTCCCTAAATCCAACCACGTGTGTGTGTGTGTGTGTTGGCTAAACGTAACCACGTGTGTGTTGGCTAAACGTAACCACGTGTGTGTGTTGGCTAAACATAACCACGTGTGTGTGTTGGCTAAACGTCACCACGTGTGTGTGTTGGCTAAACGTCACCACGTGTGTGTGTTGGCTAAACGTCACCACGTGTGTGTGTGTTGGCTAAACGTAACCACGTGTGTGTGTTGGCTAAACGTCACCACGTGTGTGTGTGTGTGTTGGCTAAACGTGACCACGTGTGTGTGTTGGCTAAACGTCACCACGTGTGTGTGTTTTGGCTAAACGTCACCACGTGTGTGTGTTGGCTAAACGTGACCCCGTGTGTGTGTTGGCTAAACGTGACCACGTGTGTGTGTGTTGTTAAAAAACATCAGTTGGCGGTGTTGTATCGACGTAGTGCTTTTATTTTGAAAGAGACTGTATGCAAAGTGTACATTTCCTGTGAAAACAGAAGTGTATTTTGAAACACGGCGTCCCAGAACGTCAACAACCAACACACCCAGGGTACATTGGACGTCATATGTCAATGACCAAACGTGGACATGTGACGAGGTCACAGTGAGAGTTTGATGTAAAATCAGAATGGTTGTGTTCTTGTTCCCTCAGAATGAGACGTTTATATCTACACAGGGAGCAGGTCCTTGTCTACAGAACAGACAAGCCAAACACTGACTCCAGATAGAGACGTTCATGTTGTCGCCACCGTAGTCAGAAGCCGCTGCATGACAAGCTTGTTGGAAAAACTGATTTCTTTTTACATGGAACGTCTTTCTTCCTGGTGTAAATCAGCTGGTCTGTTTTCTCCTCCTGAATCTGACACAGTGGAGCTCTCAGTGTGACGCAGGAGTATAACTTGGTGAAGTAGTTTGACTTCAGTCACAGATCTGAGTCCTTGTCAACATATCAACACATCTCCTCATGTCACAGTGTAGAGTCGATGTTCAGACGGCCTTTTATAAATGTAACATTTTAAACTTCTGACAACTTAACAAACTGTCACTTCTCGTCTTCTGCCACTCGTTCTTGTCTCAGGTAAAAACCTCACAGAGCTCAGAGCTCCACCACAGGAAACACTGTGAAGTCCTGTCAGTCAGCTGTGAGACGCCCAGCGGCACAAACACAGACCCCTCCAGGAAGTCATGGATTTAAAACAACACCTCAGTAAATTTACTGTCTGTTCAGGACGAGTTTAAAACCCACGTTTAAACCTGATCAGTGTGCACACAGGTGACAGACAGCACTGCAGAGTGAAGACAAGTTAGTCAGGATCACACAGCAGCAGATATGTGTTTAATACAGATGCTGAGTGCGTCAGGAGAACCAGCAGCGCACCTAGTTTAGCTGATGATGATGATGATGATGATGATGATGATGATGATGATGATGGTCACTTAAGGCTACAAACAGAAAGGTGGAGAATGAAACTCAGCTCTTTAGCTATGACGCCTGAGGTCAACTTATTTAATTAATATCACCCTGGAGGTGGCGCTGTTGTCCCGTCCATCATCACAGCTGTGGTTCAGTCGTAGAGATGAAGACACAGACTGAGTGATGAAGATCATCAGGTCTGATATTCAGTCCAACAGCTCCACCTCCAGTCTGATACTGTTTCAAATATTTAGTCATTAATATCTAACATCTTGTATATCAAACAGTTAAAGGTCCAGTGTGTAGGATTCAGTGGCATGGAGCTGTGAGGTTACACAACTGAAACGTTACCTGTGTGACAAACTTGAATGTCCCTAACTGGAGCCAGTGTTTGGTTTGTCCGCTCTGAGCTACTGTAGAAACAACATGGCAGACTCTGTGGAAGAGGACCTGCTTCATATGTAGATGTAAACTCTGAGTCTCTGCTGTTGTGTCAGGTGTGGTCTCTGGTGTTTTGTCAGGTATTGTTTCTGGAGTTGTCTTTGCTGTTGTCTCAGGTGTTGTCTGAGATGTTTTCTCAAGTATTGTCTCTGGTGTTGTCTCTGATCTTGTCTCAGGTGTTGTCTCTGATCTTGTCTCAGGTGTTGTCTCTGCTTTTGTCTGAGGAGTTGTCTCTGCTGTTTTTGTTGTTGTCTGAGGAGTTGTCTCTGTTGTTGTTGTTTTTGGTGTTGTCTGAGGAGTTGTCTCTGCTGTTTTTGTTGTTGTCTGAGGAGTTGTCTCTGTTGTTGTTGTTTTTGGTGTTGTCTGAGGTGTGGTCTCTGCCGTTGTCTCTGCTTTTGTCTGAGGAGTCGTCTCTGCTGTTGTGTCTGCTGTTGTTTTTGGTGTTGTTTCTGCTGTATTCTCTTGTGTTGTCTCTGGTGTAACTGGGTTTTTTGGCTGTTGAACTGTGTTGAATGTTTTCCTTGTTTTTCTTCTTCTGTCTCTCTGTCTCTCTGTCAGCCATCTTGAATTCTTTATAATGAGATCCGCTTAAAATCCTGTCAGAATTTAATAATAAATTGTTTCCTGTTGGACTGATTTGATTTTTGGGCCGCTGCTTCCTGTCCTCCTCTTTGTTGCCGATCTGATCCCTCTCTCTCCCTGTCTGTCTGTGCACATCTGTCTGTCCATCCATTCTGTCCGTCTGTCTCTCTGTCTGTCTGTGTGTGTCCGTAGGAGCTTGGAGAAAATGATTACGATTCTGGGTTCAGAGTGAGTACACAGGAAACGCATCACACTGTACACAGGAAACGCATCACACTGTACACAGGAAACACATCACACCGTACACAGGAAACACATCACACTGTACACAGGAAACACATCACACTGTACACAGGAAACACATCACACTGTACACAGGAAATGGCCCTCAATCAATGAATCAATCAATATGTGGCTGTTTTCAGAGAGGAAACAGTTTTCTTGATGAACTGAGGTTAGCCGGACATGATGATGACATGATAACGATGAGGGTGATGACTGATGTACAGATGGTCAGTTTGTAGGTGACGTTTTCCTTCCGAGCTACAGTTTTCAGATCAGGTCAGATTTATGAATGAATGAATTAGGGCTGGAGTGATTGATCAGTGATGTCATCAGTTATGGTCATGTGTTTTACAATACAGTTTGCAAACCGTGTGATGGTGCATCTGCGTTATAGTGAGCTACGCCCACCTTCACCCAGTCAAAGATGGAGCTGTAGCTAATATGGCTTCTTGTCAGAGGAGCCCCTGCTCTGCACGGACACTTTCAAATGGTCAAATTCATTTACCATTAAAGTGTACGTTACTACAGTGATTAAATATATCAATGTCATCATCATTTTAGATTTTAAATAAAGTAAAATCCTGATTGTCCAGTTCAGGGAAACAGCTGCTGTGATATCAGTCATTAAATTACTGAATGTGTCACAGCAAGACATCTGACACATAGGCTGTACTATTATTATTATTATTATTATTATTGTTATTATTGTTGTTATTATTATTATTAGTGTTATTATTATTGTTATTATTATTATTATTAGTGTTATTATTAGTGTTATTATCATTATTGTTGTTGTTATTATTATTATTATTATTATTATTATTATTATCATCATCATTATTATGATCAAAACATGGCAGTGATGTGGAAAGTAGACTCATTTTAAAATATGCTGCTGTTGTCATTATTTTTAAGTGAAGATGATTGAATACAATTATTTTAATATCAACAAGAAAAGTTTTTGATTTTAGTTTTGGATAAATGTGTTTCTACAGTAATCAAGTAATAGAAAAATAATCTTTGGAATAATCGATAGATTAGTGATAGATTTCATTGACTAAACGAAAAAATAAACGTTGGGAAAATAACTGAGGTGCAGCTTTAGAATGAATGAATTTCTTTTATATTGTACAAACTGTGAGGACTGAAGAGAGTCAGTGTTCCATGTAAAGTGTAAACTCTGACATGTCTCGTGTTCAGATGACCAGAATTTAAATTTTGATGTGTTAAGGCCAAGCTGACGGTCGGCCGTCGACCAAAGTCGGGCCGTCGGTGAGCGTCTGTCGGCCTAGTTTTTGTGGTGTGTCCCGCACCGTCAGCACTTTGGCGTCGGCGGCTTTTCGGCTGATTGAGCATGTTGAATTGGCGGCGGAGCTTGTCGGTGAGAGAGATCACTCTGATTGGCTGTTCAGGTTTCATTTCCTCGCCCCTGTAGCGAGTGAATCTGCCTGTAGTGAAACCGGGGCTAACCGGTGCTTCCTCCTCAGGCTCCACTTCACTCAGCTGCCCCACAGACCCGCTGCTTCTTCACACTTTAACCTGAATAACAAACCGGAGCTAGCTGGGAGCAGCTAGCGGAGCGTTAGCCGCAGCATGACCGGAGGGAAGCACAGCCAGTTAGCCTCCGCTAGTCTCTGAGCTAGCCCCGGCTCTCCGTTTGGATCCAACCGGAGCACCGAGCCCTGGTTTGTTATTCAGGTTAAAGTGGGAAGAAGCAGCGGGTTTATCGGGCAGCTGAGTGAAGTGGAGCCTGCGGAGGAAACACCGGGACCGTCTGGATGTAATAGTCCGTGGAGGTGCTGCGGTGCTCGGCTGCACAGATAGGAAACCCCTCGGCTGACAGGATGTACCACTCTCTCACTCCGCTCTCTCTCACGCAGGCGCAGAACGTACGTGCTACTTGGCCGTCGGATGTGGTCCGTGTAGTGTGTTCAAATGCAACTGACACAGGGCGACGTGAGGCGACGTAGACGACGCAACAGTTGGCTTTCGTCACCGCTAGTTCGGTTTGGTGTGTCCGCACCTTTTGACAGTTTTGTTGCTGAAGTCTGGACTCGACTGAGAGAGTTTGTTTAATTAATACATATTTATGTTTTCATCAGTGCTACTCAGTGAATGTGTTAGTGATCAGAGCTGACCTGATTTTATTTGCTTCATTTTCTTTCTTCTTAACATTGTCTGAAAAGATGTGTGTGGGACTTTAGATTTTATGGTGTCTTATAAGTCCATGAGGGCGGGGCCTGAGTGTTGGCATCACACAGTAACAGAAGCACATGAGACAGTCTGTGAGAAGGAAATCACAGACATGGTTAAACATTGTTGTTTCTGTGTTCAGCTAACGGAGTAAAAGATGAGCTGATTTTCAAAAGTCATGAAGTAAAAGATGAAACATTTTTTCAGTATTTTAACTTTTTAATTTCATCTTTTACAGTTTCATAATAACAAAAACTAAAAAGGTCCTGGAGCCAAAGTTCAGCTCCTGCATGGTCAGTGCTCAGCAGCGCCCCCTGTTTGTATCCAGCTCAGAGTCTCTCAGTTCTTGTTTAGAGGATTTCTTCATGCTCTGCTCTTTGAGCTCTATCCACAGGTGTTTAATGATGATTAGGTCGGGGACTGTGAGGGGGCGTGGCCTAACCTGTCCTCCTCCTGCTCAGGTAGAAACTCTTGGACTCCTCTGAATGAAGACTTTGTGTCGTCTTCTTGTATCTTGGGCTGCTCTGGATGAAGTGGTTGGTTCCTCATCCTCCTCCCCCTCTTCCTCCTCCTCTTCCTCCGTCTGTCCTCACCTCCTCTCTCCTGTCATCTAGTCTCATCTGGTTTCATCTGGTCTCTTCTGTCCCAGTTTCTGTCTCAGGGGAGTAGATGGAGGAGAATATAGATGGAGGTGACTCTCCTCTGTCAGTCTCTCTGCAGTTCAGATCTGAGTGTGGAAGGACGGCATGATGACAGAGGACGAGGACAAACCTCAGTTTTATTCTCACCTGTGCGTCAGTGGAAACTATGAACCTGTTCATTCAGATGAATGTGGACACATGTCCAGTGTGACATGTGAGCTGCAGTGACATCTCTGGGGTCTCTGGTGGAAACAGCTTCTTCTCAGGCTGTTGACCTGATGTGATTTTGGGGAGACGTCAGATCCATCAGTCCAACATGGCTCCATCTGTCTCAGAGGAGAGAGCTTCCTCCTGGTCGGCCGAGGCCTCACTCAGACCAGAGGGACAAATGCAGCTCCATCATTCATCTGAACGAAGACGCTCAGGCAAATAAAAAAGAAGTGTCTCCAGCAAAACGGCCAATCAGATACCTGCAAGTGCACCTTTCTGATACTGCAGGTTTTTTTACTGTTTACGTCAGCACCATCATGACACAGAGTTCCTACAGTGTGCCGTTTGATTCAGTCACAGGTTTGGCTGAGTGTAGAAATATTTGTGTTTCCAGATTATTAGGGACGGGTCTTTATCCATCAGCAGTTTGGGTCTGATTGACTGTATACATGCAGGAGTCACATGATCTGAGTGTGTTAGTCCCACTGAGACAAATTCACTTTAGGACCACTTCAGTCACACTAACGTGTTTACAGGGATTTAAAAGTCCAGTATCAATAAATCCACTTTCTCTGATGTCATGGAAACGGACCGTGTTCTACCTCCAGTAGATGTCGGTCGGCTCAGTTTGGAGAAGCAGTCCGAATCTGAAGCTGAGCGATATACATCTGTGGATGTGGTCAGCAACAAACCATATTTTAGACGCCAATGCCAGCGCAGCTTTACCTCGTCATCACAGACCTCTGACAGAAGAACTGAAGCCATTTTATCTTCAAAGTAGAGATACCACTTTTTCCTTCCCGATTCTGATCCCTGAACCTTAGGTATCTGCCGACACCGAGTACCGATCCGATACCAGCGTGTAAAATAACAATGGATGGGATATGAATTGTTGTATGTCTCAACTCCTAAAACTCTGTGTAAAATATTAAGAAATAAATACATAATAGTAGAATGAATGCCATAAAACTTTTGTTATTATCATTATCCAGTGTTGACACAGGTCAAGACACAGGTTAAAGTGCAGCCACACAATCTCCACTCCGTTTCATTTTCCTGTAGCGTGCGTACGCATAATGACGTGAGGCATTACATGGTATCAGATTGGTCATTGGCTGTACTCGCCGATACCACATTTTAGGCAGTATCGGAGGCATTTCCGATACTGGTATCGGTACAACTCTACTTCAAAGCCAGACTCCACTGATGGTAAGAGTCAGTTTCACCTCCCTGATCAGAGGAGCTGCTGGTCTGCAGCTGCCTCCAACAGTCAGCCTGTGTCACTGTGTCTCTGTGGTGTGTTAAAGGGTCAGTTCAGATTGATTCAGACTGATAATTGATGGAGGCAGCAGTCGACCAGCAGCTCCTGTGTTCAGAGAGGTGAACTGACTGCTACCATCAGGGGAGTCTGATCAGAGCGTAGAAAGTCTCAGCTCAGTTTCCCATCAGAGGAGGTCGTGATGAGAGGGTGAAGCAGTGAAACGGTTCTAAATACAGCGTGTACTTAAGCTGACATGGACTGTTTGAGGTGTCTGAAATATGTAACAGTATGTTCGTGTCTGCCGTCCGCAGCAGTGTTGGTGCTCCTGTCTGCTTCTCCAAACCTTTCCGACTGACTGTGGATCAGTACATCATCCTTCAGAAGACCCAAACTGTCTCTGCAGAGTGACACGCTGCCCAGTCGTCCTCTCTGTATTCATCCCTCCTCTCTGTCTCTGTCTCTGTCTCTGTCTGTCCTCCCAGAATACATCAGACATGCCAGAAACGATCACCAGTCGAGACGCAGCGAGGTTTCCCATCATCGCCAGCTGTACTCTGTTTGGGCTCTACCTCTTCTTCAAGGTAACACACAGCGTCACATGTAGAGTCTGTTTGGATGAAGTGTCTCACCACTCTCAGGTTAACGATGGACGTCTGTCCTCTGCAGGTGTTTTCTCAAGAGTACATCAACCTGCTGCTGTCGGTCTACTTCTTCGGCCTGGGCGTCCTGGCTCTGTCTCACACTATGAGGTAAGAAATCTGTGAATCCTGGGAGACTGAAGGAATGACCCTCTCCTCTCCTCCTCTGATTGGCTCGTACTCGTTACCTTCGCTGGCTGGTCTGGTCAGGGTTAGGCAGGAGGAGTGGGATTGGTTAGATTAGAGTAAGAATGTCAGGTAAGCCAATCAGAGGCAGAGGAGCTGAACACACGCTGTGTCTTTAGAAGTGAATTAATGACCTGTCTTTTTAATCTGGCATTTTAATGTGCAGTAATATCAGTCTTGATTTTTGAGTTTTAACCACTGGTTTTTAACCTTATTTTTCCCTCTTGTTTATTTTTATGCTGTTTATTTATTTATTTATTTACTTTAAACCATCTGTTTTTTGTTTGTTTTGTTTTTTAATATTTTATTGTCTTGTTGTCATTTTCTGGGTTGTTGCAGCCGTCAAATTGAAGTTATTACTTTTGTATTTGATAATTATTGTGGCTGGTTTACAACTTAGTTTTATAACTGAAATTAATTTGTTTATTTTGCTTACTAGGGGCCTATGATATTGCTAGGATTGTTTATATTATTGTTTTTGGGGGCGTGTCGTGCATAACAGGAGGATATGTGGTTCAGGTGATTGTGCGGCGGCACATGGAAACCTAAATGTTTGGTGATAAGAGGCGGTTGTTGTGAAAAGTTTTTCGACCACGTTATTTAACTTTTTTGTTGCTATTAAAGACTGTTTTGTTTTCTACTGGGTGTCTTAGTAATTAACAGTTTGGAACGGATTTAAGTTGTAAAAATAAAAGTTATGATCGTTTAAACCGTGACGAGGGAAAGTTTGTTTAAACGTGAGTGAAGTGGACCTTGCAGAAGTTTTCTAAAACACAGAGGACAGACTTTTTTTTAGAGAAACCATTGTCGTGTAAACATGGCCTCAGAGTGCAGCTGTGGCACTCTGAAAATAAGGTGCTAGGAAACGTGTGCGTGTTGCAACGGCGTCTCTCTGATGTTTGAGCGCCCGCTGTGTGTTCACAAGGGAAACAATGGATTTCAGGGTGTAAAACACGCGGCACGTGTACGGCTCCTCAGGTGGGCCATTCCTTCTCTCTCCTAGGATTCACAAAGTCACATGAGATGAAACAACACAAAGTAAAGTACATTAAATCTGATGCTGTTGTTAATTTATGTTGTTGTTGTTGTTGTTGTTTGTGTCTTTCAGTCCTCTGATGTCCAGAATCTTTCCAGAATCTTTCCCTAACAAACAGTACCAGCTGCTCTTCACTCAGGGCTCCGGAGAGTCCAAAGAAGGTGAGACCTGCTGCAGTGACACTGTTTCATCATCATCATCATCATCATCAGTTGTTTCTTTAGTTTGATTCCACTGAATTTCAAAGACCCAAACTACAGAACAAGTTGTTTCCTCACAAAGCTCTGCTGTCGATATTCCAACACTTAAATCTTGTGATACTTTAAAATGAAGTGTTGTAAATATTATTGTTGTTGTTGTTGTTTATATTTAAATCTGACCAATCACATTCACATCTCTGTGTCTCTCTGCAGAAATAGTCAACTATGAGTTTGACACCAAGAACCTGGTGTGTCTGCTCATCAGCAGCGTGGTCGGCGTCTGGTACCTGCTCAAAAAGGTGAAGTTCAGAGGAGCGTAATCAGCTGTTCCTGTTAGTGATGTCACACTGCTGCTTATCAGAGAGCGTTTCATCAGCTGGAGGTTTTGTCATAGTTTTTAATGGGAATGAAACTTTTTGTGATAGTTCGTCTGGACCCTGTGATGTCATAGCAACACATAGTGACATCACAGCACTAACGTGTCTGCATTTTGTGACATCACAGCACTGGATAGCCAATAACCTGTTTGGCCTGGCGTTCGCCCTGAACGGGGTGGAGCTGCTCCACCTGAACAACGTCAGTACCGGCTGCATCCTGCTGGGGGGGCTGTTTGTCTACGACGTCTTCTGGGTGAGATTCTTTTTTTGAGTCCAAAAATTAGCTGTTAGCCGTTTTATAAATGTGACAAGATGGTCTCCAACAATGACCCAGCAGCACCTGAACACATCATGGCATCGCTCTCTGTCTCTGTCTCCAGGTGTTTGGGACCAACGTCATGGTAACAGTCGCCAAGTCCTTTGAGGCACCAATCAAATGTAAGTATGTGAGACAGGTGTTAAACACGCCTGAGAGAAGTGAATTTGAATCCGCAGCACGTTCAGAGTGACGTGACGCTGTGACGTGACGCTGTGACGTGACACTGTGACGTGACGCTGTGACGTGACGACGTGACGCTGTGACGTGACGACGTGACACTGTGATGTGACGACGTGACGCTGTGACATGGCGACGTGACGCTGTGACATGACATCTCTGTCTCCTGCAGTGGTGTTTCCTCAGGACTTGTTGGAGAAAGGACTTGAAGCCAGTAACTTCGCCATGCTGGGTCTGGGTGACATCGTCATCCCTGGTATCTTCATCGCACTGCTGCTGCGCTTCGACGTCAGGTAACATCTCTGTCTTCTTCTTCTGTTGGTAATGTTCCTGTCTCTCTTTGTCTTTTCTTCTGTGGTGTCTCTCTGTGTCTCTGTGTCTCTGTGTCCCTGTGTGTCTCTGTCTCTGAGGCAGATTCAGACCTTTAATGTCCCTCATGATGATCCTGTCTTGTCCCTGCAGCCTGAAGAAGAACAGCAGGACGTATTTCTACTCCAGTTTCCTGGCCTACATCTTCGGACTGGGCCTCACCATCTTCGTCATGCACACCTTCAAACACGCACAGGTACGACACAAGGGTCAGAGGTCACCTCTGCAGATCGATGTACTTCTCTTTAAAGATGGAGTCATGTGGAAAGGGGTGTGGCCTGTAGATGTGATTACATCACAGTAAGAAGCACTGACAGGTGAAGACGTTTTGTCTGTTGACTGTCTGTCTGTCTGTCTGTCTGTCTGTCTGCCTGCAGCCCGCCCTGCTCTACCTGGTCCCAGCCTGCGTCGGCTTCCCCGTCGTTGTAGCACTGTTCAAAGGAGAGCTCACAGAGATGTTCAGGTGAGTAACCTGGACGCCACCGAAGGGTTTTTTGGGGAGTTTTTCCTGATCAGCTGTGAGGGTCATAAGGACAGAGGGATGTCGTATGCTGTAAAGCCCTGTGAGGCAAATTGTGATTTGTGATATTGGGCTTATAAATAAAATTGATTGATTGATTGATTGATTTGATAACCATGGCAACCACACATCCTGCTGGTCATGTGATGATTATTTCTGTGGACTCGGGGCCTGGGTCCACATGGCATTATTTAAAGCAGCAGTAAAGTGGTGGCAGGACGTTGGGGAGCGCTGGAGGTGTTTTTTTTTAATAGCGTGCTGCGCATGGGTTTTGTTTCTATGACAACAATATCTTGACACTAAGACTAAGACACAGTTACCTTAAAGCTTACAAAGCTAATGGTGATGAAAGCACAACACTCAGCTGAAACACTCGGTGTCTGCTGGCCGACAGCAGAGAGTCACCTCACTAAAGAAGCAGCAGTGACATCATCAGTGCTTTCTGAAAGATTCAGAGATTTTCAGCTCTAAGCGCCAGAAGCAGCCGTCTGAAACCTGTCGGTGGAGCTGACAGTGATCAAAGATTCTGTATGAAACTTTCAATCCTTGTTTTTGACTCTGTCGACTGTTAAATGAGCCGCGGTAGCATCCTGTTGAGGTGCGAGTGAGCAGCAGGGCATCGACCAAGTCAGTGACAAACACTGAACGTGATCGACCGTCATGTTTACAGAATACTGAAAAATAAATGACAGTTAAATCTAGATGAATGTTAACGTTTGGACCATCGGCTCTGTGACAATAACTAGTTTATCGTTTGCATATTTATCAGCTGACGTTACAAAGCAGCCAACAGCAGATTGATGCTGCGTAGCTGCACAGCTAGCTGGTTAGCATTAGCTATATTTCGGTTAGCTAGTTGTTAGATCATATATTATCAATTAAATCAACACCATTTGTCATAAGACATTAGTCAGTATCGTGGATCACGTTAGTTGGTTAAGTAATTTGGTAGTTAGCTAGCCAGCTAACAGCAATAATGTTAGTGAGCAAGCAAGCTAATTGTAGCCGGCTAGCTTTATCCTGATGTGGTGTTTGTTGCTTTGTAACATGATCTCATAAAGTAATTTACAAACCAGCCCCGGCAGTCTGGATGAATCAGCTAACGCTGTCCACTCAGTCCTGTATTTTGCTACGTTAGCTAGCTAGCAATTTGTCTGGGTTACCAGGCAAGCTAGCATTAGCTAACACTTTTTAGCTAAAACTACAATATCACAATATATATGACATGTCAGTGTTTCCTGTTGAAGAAACTGAAGTTATGATACAGAGGCTTTTATTCTGAAATGCAAACAGGAAGTGTTGAGTTGAAAATAAACTTTATTTTTTTCTTTATGTCTGTGTCTGATATAAACACTGAACCTGTAGTGAAGGGCGGTGCAATGTCAGTAAAACTATTTTCACTGCTCTGCTGAAAACTGTGCGCGTCACGCAGAAAAAAGAGGCGGGGCCTCTCCAGCTGTCCTCAGCTGATCACCCCATCACACAGGAAGTGACGTGTTCAGGCCAACGTGACCTTTATCAGAACAACGACTGGAGATGTCATCACAGCTGATTCCTGTTCAGTTTTATGATGAAGAAGTTCATTCAAACATCCGACTGAAGCTCTGGACATGTGAAAGGTTTCCTCCCACTGCTCATCAACAACAGTGCCGCTGTGGAAAGTGTCCCACCGTCTGCTGGTTCCACTGGTCCTGATCCAAAACTCTCTGTTCGGGTGGACTTTACACCACAGACACTGAGGTGCAGCAGAAACACTGAGGTGCAGCAACACAGAGTTTAAGTGTGAAGTTGTCCTCAGGCCAAACAGCGCGAACAAAACGTTAGCAAAGCATTAGCGTTCGTGTTCTGGCTTCAGGTGTTTGCTCGTTACACAAAGCAACAGTGAGCACGTGCGAATCAAGAGGATGACGTCATCGTTTCTCAAAGTGCTTACACGTCCTCACAGATGAACAGTAACGAGAGTTTTAAAAAATCTAAATGTTCGCAACCTAAACTGTGTTTGTGTGGACGAGAGGTTGCAACGTAGAGGAAAATATGCATTTACAGAAATGTCTGTAACAAACTGTTGGTTAGTTGTCATGGAAACAAGTAAATCTCCAGATGTAAAAACATTTTTTAATTTCTCTGTTTCAAATCTAAACTAATGCATAATAATGGTTGTTATTTTCCATGTGTGAGTCCTGATGTGATGACGTGCAGGAACTTAAACGGTCTCTGACATAAAGACAGTTCCTGCTGCTCTGTGATTGGTCGGCAGAATAAACAGCCGATGCCTCTGTAACGTAACAAAATAAATGTGTTCTGTACGGGATCAGAAGAGGTCCAAACATTTCATCAGTCCATCCTCTGGAGTTTGTAGTTTGTGCTGAGACCTGTCCGTCTGTTTGTCCGTCTCTTGTCTTCATCGTCCTTCATCCCTGTGACGTCTTTGATTGACAGCCACTCGCCTCTTCGCCCTCGTCAGCCTCATTTGTTTTCCCAACACCCCGTTCACTCCCGCCCCTCTGGTTTCCTCCTCCATCCCTCACTCCCCCTCCTCCTCCGCTGCGTCACCTCCTCCCCTCCTCTTCCTCATCCTCTCGTCACATCTTCACCTCCTCCGTCCTCTCCTTTACCCTCCGTCTCACAGACGTTAGCAGTTCTGCGGTAAACTTTAACTTTACAGTTTCAGATACAAACTTACCACATCCTGTCTTTCTTTCTCTCCTCCCCCTTTACCTTTCATCTGTATCACCTCTCTTCTTTCCTCCTGACCCATCCATCCTGCCCCCCCCCCCCGGTTAGCTATGAGTCGTCAGAGGAAGTTCTCCCTGGCTCTCCCAGGCTCACTTCCTTCCCAACTGTCAGCGGCTCGCCCGCCAGCCTGGCTAGCTCCATGGATGCTGTCTCCATGGTGACAGGCTCCTCCCCCCGTCGCCGCAGGTTACAGCCCACCTCCATGTAGAGGCCCAGCCCCTCTGTCTTAACTCCCCCCCCTCCGGTCTCACCTGGGCAGGTAATCAGCCCGTTCACAAGTGCTGTCGCCCCCATCCATCTGTCCATTTGTCCATCTGTCAGTCTGTCCATTTTTGTCATAAACTACAACCATCACTCCATCAGTCTGTTGATATGAATACTTTCTCATACGTATCTGTAACGATTGTAGTTTAATAAATGAACAAAAACATTTTAAATCTATAAATTTTGTCAGATTTTTGTTCCTATATGAACACGTTCCAAAAAAACCTTCCATTATCAGGCTCAGATATGTTCTGTGGCTGCAGACAGACTGACGGACTGATGCACTGACTACAAATGTCTCTTTGACAGTAAAGGTTGCTGACTGCTGGTCTGGTCAAATAAAGGCATGATCATCATGAACAAATAAAGACCAGGGTGAAAACTCTGCTGAGGCGTCTCATATAATCTACACTTACACAGAATTACAGCTGTATAATCAGACTGTACTGTTGTTGTCCTGTGTCTGTCACAGTGGCTGTGTTGTAGTAACATACAAGTGCCACAAGGTGGCAGTAGTTAGATCTGAAGTTTCATGTGGGAACCCTGCAGATGTTTCACAATAAAAGCCTTCTTCATTCTCTTCAGTGAAATGCCATGGGGCTTTTATTTTGAAAGCGAGACAGGAAGTGTTGAATCAATGTTAACATCATGATGCTGAAACAAAACCTACCAGAGAAAACAGCAGCAGGTCAGAGACGACAAACTAAAATCTGACCAAATATTTTAATCAGTCAGAGTGAAGAGACGAACGACTGTCTGTAATAAAGAGACGAACGACTGTCTGTAATAAAGAGACGAGCGACTAATAAAGAGATGAACGACTGTCTGTAATAAAGAGGCGAACGACTGTAATAAAGAGACGAACGACTGTCTGTAATAAAGAGATGAACGACTGTAATGAAGAGATGAACGACTGTCTGTAATAAAGAGGCCAACGACTGTCTAATAAAGAGGCGAACGACTGTAATAAAGAGATAAACGACTGTGTAATAAAGAGCTGAACGACTGTCTGTAATAACGAGATGAACGACTGTCTGTAATGAAGAGATGAACGACTGTCTGTAACAAAGAGATGAACGACTGTCTGTAATAAAGAGATGAACGACTGTCTAATAAAGAGGCGAACGACTGTCTGCAATAAAGAGGCAAACGACTGTAATAAAGAGATGAACGACTGTCTGTAATAAAGAGATGAACTGGAATTTCTCAATTATGGGATCAGTAAAGGTGTATCTTATCTTAACGACTGTAATAACGAGATGAACGACTGTAATAAAGAGGCGAACGACTAACAGAGAGACGAACGACTGTAATAAAGAGACGAATGACTAATAAAGAGACGAACGACTGTGTGCAATAAAGAGACGAACAACTGTAACAGAGAGACGAACGACTGTCTGCAATAAAGAGACGAACGACTGTAATAAAGAGACAAACGACTAATAAAGAGGCGAACGACTAATAAAGAGGCGAACGACTGTAATAAAGAGATGAACGACTGTAATAAAGAGATGAATGACTGTCTGTAATAAAGAGGCGAACGACTGTAATAAAGAGACGAACGACTGTCTGTAATAAAGAGGCGAACGACTGTAATAAAGAGACAAACGACTGTCTGTAATAACGAGACGAAAGACTGTAATAAAGAGACGGATGACTGTCGGTAATAAAGAGATGAACGACTGTAATAAACAGACGAACGACTGTAATAAAGAGATGAACGACTGTCTGTAATGAAGAGATGAACGACTGTCTGTAATAAAGAGGCGAACGACTGTCTAATAAAGAGGCGAACGACTGTCTAATAAAGAGATGAACGACTGTAATAAAGAGATGAACGACTGTCTGTAATAAAGAGGCGAATGACTGTCTGTAATAAAGAGATGAACGACTGTAATGAAGAGATGAACGACTGTAATAAAGAGATGAACGACTGTCTGTAATAAAGAGGCGAACGACTGTAATAACGAGATGAACGACTGTAATAACGAGACGGACGACTGTCTGTAATAAAGAGACGAACAACTGTCTGTAATAAAGAGGCAAACGACTGTCTGTAATAAAGAGACGAACAACTGTCTGTAATAAAGAGACGAACGACTGTCTGTAATAAAGAGACGAACGACTGTCTGTAATAAAGAGACGAACGACTGTCTGTAATAAAGAGACGAACAACTGTCTGTAATAAAGAGGCGAATGACTGTAATAACGAGACGAACGACTGTAATAACAAGATGAACGACTGTAATAAAGAGACAAACGACTGTCTGTAATAACGAGGCGAACGACTGTAATAACGAGACGAACGACTGTCTGTAATAAAGAGACGAACGACTGTCTGTAATAACAAGACGAACGACTGTCTGTAATAAAGAGGCGAACGACTGTAATAATGAGACGAACGACTATAACAGAGAGATGAATGACTGTCTGTAATAAAGAGACGAACGACCGTAATAACGACCTGCGAGGACGCCGTTTAACAGTTTACTGGTTTCTTTGTAAGGATGAAGTCAACAAGGCCCTGCTGGCTGATTAAGTAATGAAGACACCTTTGTTTCTCTCTTCCTCCTCTTCCTCCTCCTCCTCTTCCTCTGCAGGTACGAGGAGACCCCTCCTGAGCACGCAACAGAGACTAAAGAGGAAACAGAATCAGAGAAAAAGGACCAATAACATCCATTGCTGCCCCGCCCCCTCCCCCCTCCTCCTCATCCTCATCCAGCCTGCTGCCACCACATTTCACTGAAGCCCCTCCCGCTCCCGCTGCTCCAGCTTCCTGTTGGTCGCTGGGGGAAACGGGACTCATGTAGCCAACGTTGTTTGTCTCTGATAACTGCGGGAACGGCTGCTGGTCTCCGTGGTAACGGCTGCTGGTGTTTCTAATTAAAGGTTGTTTGGTAACAACATTTGAGACTCGGTGCCTGCCATGATTCCTCTCTCTCTGCCTCTCAGCTGCTCGCACACAGGAACGCACATCATCGGCTTTTATCGTACGTTTGTTCGGGAACGCCGTCAGAGTGGTTAAACGGCAGCCGCAGCGTCGTCAGGTCTGACCTTCTTGTGTGTTGGCAGCTCATTGGCTCAGATAGACCAGGAAACCATCAAACCTCCGCCGCCTGAAGGAGCACTTGGTTTGGAAAATTAACGGTAAAACAAGCGCTCCTGTTTCCTTTGTCTTTAAAGCCTCCAAACAAAGAACCACGGTTCTTCGTGCCATCCTCCCACAGTCCCACAGTGACCTCCACAGTGTTAACTCTTCAGACGGACACATCGTGTGGGCGTGGTTCTTTGTCTCCGGGTTTCTTCACTTCCTGGTTTATTTGGCGCCGGGCCGCCGCTCATTCTGCCTTCTGCTTTCTCACATCAGTGTTTTCTGTTGGTTCCACTTTTATTGTTTCTCCTTCAAGGCCAGAATTTTAAGATGAAAAATCCAGTTTAGATTTTTTGATAATTTCCAGTTATTTTCTCGCGTCTTGTCTGTTGTGAGAACTCGTCCTGTAGGTGTGACTCAGTCAGCTGTGATCCGTTCTGTGGAGCGAACATGGCTTCACATTCAAACCTGCAGTGTTTGTAGTCGTATGTCACGGTCAGGCCTCATCCACACGCACACACCTTTACTTATACATCACTTTTTTATGTGTTTTGGTCTTTGGTCCACACAATCTGTGTTTAAGTAGAGTTCTGTTGGTTGGATCAGATTCAGCTGTTTAATATGAATATTTGATAACTCGTTTTTTTTTTTGTCCATATAAAGTTTTTAAGTTTGAACGGGATTCAGTGGTACGTTCATTGTGACAGTGGTACACACATTATATCGCAAACAAGCTAACGTGCTAACGACATGTTGGAAATGTGCTCCAGATATCAAACAAGAAGTATCTGCTTCTCAGCAGAAGAGAGGAGATAAAGATATCTCAGAGTTTCTCCTCCTGTGTCGCTGCATCACGTCCCTCTGTACCAAAGAGCGCTCTCTCTGCAGCAAAATCTGGGGACCAAAAAGTCCCCAGAAGTTCACTGTACAGCACACTGACTGACTGACTGACTTGAAGCGATCTGAGTGGACTGAGGGGTCTCTGACTAACGATTTGAGTCTGTGACTCTCGAGGAGGCGGCTCTACGTTTAGGCTGACTGAAAACAGACCTGATATAAAACTCCATCTGGGTGAAAAAGTTCAAACTCTCAGTGTTGATGTGCAGACGGGAAAACCGAGCTTGTCTTGTGACATCAGAGTGTGCGCGGTTATCGTGTTTGTAAGGTGTCACAAATTAATTTCCTGTGATGGCAGATGTGGCGAACGTCGAGCTGGCTGTAACCTGCCAACAGGACGTCATACACGTTTAACCATGACTGTACAGTTAACTCTACAGTGAGGACGATGCAGACAGGCAGCCTTCAGGTGATCGCTCTGTTCTAAGTTTCTAAATGACCAACATCATCTTCTGCTTCGCATGGTTTCAGGGTTACGGTTATATCGCCACCTGTTGGTTGGCGTGCTCCTGATGGTGCTTAAGTTGTGTGTTTGCGTTGTAATGTGGACAAAGTAGTTTGTTTGTTTGTTTTTTTTCAAACAGTGCAAGTGTGGACCGGATTTGATTTTTTTTTTAACAGAGGGGTAAAATTCTGTTTTCAAAACCCCCCGTGTGTGTGTGGACCAGGCGTCAGTGACGGAGGTCGTTTTTGTATCTGTCAGACTTTGTGTTTTTTCTTTTTTAAACCTTGAATCCAGTGAATTCTGATTAAAAGATGAAACTGGAGCTGTTCTCTTATTTTCAGTAAATCTCAAACCAACAATGTGTTAATACATCTTAATTTTGGAAAATGTTACAGGCTGTGATGTGTCAGATTATTTTGTATGTTTTTCTTTTCTGTTAGTTTCAGGTCTTGAAGGTGGAAAACATTCAGAGACTCCAGGATTTGAAAATGGTTATCTGCACAATATTTGGCTCAAACATAAAACCCACAGGTGTGGTTCATTAACGCAGCACGAGTTATTAATAACTGTGTGAACCTGAAAGGGTTAATTTTTTAGAGCGTGCACTCTGCGGAGAATTTAAAGTTAAAATAAAAACAGCTGTGGAAACAGACCAAAGGCATCTGAAGTTTCCCACACAGGTGAGTGTTCACCTGGACAGGACAGGTGATACATCTGGACAGGACAGGTGAGCGTTCACCTGCCTGGTTCTTAAAGTTCTGGCCTGTGAGAGGAGACTGAGGAGAGGAGTAAAGGGAGAAGGAGGCACGCTGAACCTCCTCTGCTGAATATTTCCAGTCCTCCAAGTCCTCGTTCTCAGGTCTTATTGGTGGAGAGGCTGTGAGGGGCGGGGCCCTGCGGCCTCCTTATCCAATGAGCTGTGAGAATGAGCTGAGGAGAGGAGTTTATCTGTTTATCCACAAACATTCTCAGTTTTGGGCTTTGAACAGTCAGTCAGACAAAAGAAGACGTTACACCAACCAAACGATTCATCAGGAAAACAGTCGTCTGATTAAAGCTTTGAAATAAAAGATGGATCCGTCACTTCCTCCTCCACCAAACCAGCTCCGGTTCTTCTACTGGTTCTGTTCACGATTAATAGAACCTCGGTACGATCGAGCGAATCAGCCAGTGTTTCCACCAGTTTCGGTGTATTGTATTGATAACCTGAAACTTTTGTTCTCTTATTACAGATATTTATAAATAAAATTATTAAAAATAATTACTAATAAATAAAAAAATATTTTTAGCCAAAAAAACAGATACTGAGACTTCTGCACGCTTTTTTTTCCTGACAGTTTCTCATTGATTCTCTGTCGTTGCTTTCTCCATCCCTTCTGTCTGTGTCGTCACCGTTCAAACTTCAGGTTAACAAAACCTGCTGGTGTTTAGTTCCAGCTGGGGACCAACGTTTCAGGCTCCGACCCAATTCTTTAAATTTATTTCCTTGGTGGAAACGCTCTGAACGGTTTCTCATTATGTGTGGGAGCCAGAACAGAACCAGTTCCATGTTGGTGGAAAAGGGGTCTTGAGACCAACATCAGATGTGAGACTTGGGTCCACGTGAAAATATCTGAGTTTGAAATGTAGGAAACAGAAACAGTGCTGTAAACTACATGTCTCACAATACCAGTGGCCCTTAAAAGTTTATTTCTTCAAAAGGTTTTGAAGGTCAGTTTTTTTCTAAACATAATGTCAAAATAAAATTCAAATCTAAACGGTGAAAGTCATCATTTGGAATTTTATACAAACATATTGACGTCATCACAGAACTCACATTTTTTAGTACATTTTGAATTAATTTTGGAATTATTTAACATTTCGCAAAATGAAAACCTTTGACTCAGATTTAACTGCAGCCGCTCTGACTGGACGTATTCAGCCTCACAATATTATTCTCGATGTTCTTGGTGTTGTTGCTTTATTAAGAGATGCACAGTTTTTGTATTTTGATGTAAAAGATGAAAAGAAATCCAAGTATTCTGCTCCTGTTCAGCTCAGTGACTTTCAGTAGCCCCTCATCATTTTAAATATAACGTACCTGAAATGTTTTTCATTTTTCTTTCTCTTTCTCTGGTTGCATTTGTGTAAGAGGTCGTTTCACGGCTCCGACTGTATCGTTTATTTGCAATAAACTTTTTGGTGTTTTGATCACCGTATAGAGAAGCATAACTCTGACTCTGTCTGGTTTTTCCATCATCATTCAGCAGCAAAATTAAAATGTTGTGATATGTTGGCCCAGTTCATCTGCTTGCTTCTGAGACAGCCAAGTATTTAAAAGAAGTATTTCTTCAGTGTAACTGAATCATGTGTTCAGAGAATGACAGAGGAGCTCGAATAGATCCCTGAGGAACTCCACCTTTATGGTACACATCCACGCAGATTAACAGCCATATTAATCTCATATGGAACCGAACACTTAATTATGATATTAACCGTCTCCTGAATATTTAATGTTGGAATTATGAATGTGTACGGATCACAGAAACATTTACATAAACATGGAGTTGCTGATTTTCATTCATTTTCTGCTGCAAGTGATTAAAGATTGAAACAGAACCCAACAGTGTCTAAAACCATAACATCACACCTGTGCTATGAATTTCTACCATATTTATTAATTTGTTTATTAAGATTTTACACCAGATTGTTAGATTCCAGTGCCGTTGACTTCTTGACATCAGGTTTTTATTCTAAAGAAAGTGATATGATTTCATCAGGCATGTTGGGCGTTACCTTATTTATTACTTTATTAAATTGTTTATTTTGTTTGTGTTTTTGTTGTTTGGGTGCAAAATTAGGTTCTCTGTAAAATGTGCTTTTATTCTGAAAAATGAAGTTGGCTGACAGACTGGACCTGCCTTCATTCATTCATTTATTTGGTCATTTGTTTGTCATTTTTTAAAATCATTTTATGGTTTAGGAGCAAAATTAATTTTTCTGTCAGGTTTCAGTTCTGCTGCCTGTTTGACATCAGGCTTTTATTCTGAAGAAACAAGACTAAGTTTTATCATTTCAGCTGGCATGTTGAGTATTCCCTTATTTATTAGTTTAATATGTTAATATAGGTTTTTGTTTTGTTTTTTCGCAGTTTGGGGGCAATATTAGATTCTCTGTGAAATGTAAGTGCTGCTGATCTTTTGACGTTAGGCTTTTATTCTGAAAACAAAGAAGGAAAAATGTTTTTCGGATGTTCCTTTATTTTTCTATTTATAAAATTACTTAATGAATTTGTAATTTAAAGGGCAAAATCAAGTTTTTGAATGAATGCAGGTATTTTGATCTTTTTTTGTTTCTGTTTGTTTTACTGTCGCATGACGTCACTCGCTTCTCTCTTTTATTCTCTACGTTTTTAATGTATCAAACCTTCACTCACGATTAGAGGAAGTCATATACTCGATAGAAAATGTACCAATAAGCATGTTAGGAATGCACTTCATAGCTATAATAAGATCTCCCCCAGAGGAAAGTTCTTCTGAAATTCACAATTAGTCGATATTAATTGGCGTAAAACATGGTTGTGCCCCTTTCACTTTTGTATTTCAAATAAAATAAAATACTACACAACATTTATTCTTGTAACAACACAATTTCCAGGTTCACAGACTTGGATGATAAATGCACTTTTTGTGGGATTGAGTCAGAGACATTTGCACATTTATTCTGTGTTTGCCCTGTGTCATCTGTGTTTTGGAGGGATTTTGAAAAATATATTTATGAAAAAACTGGACATATCATCACAGTCGGTCTGAAGGATATTATCACAAGATTTGTATGTAATGATAAGTCTTTGTGCTTTGTAATTAATCTTATGCTACTAATCGGCAAATTTTACTTGCATAAAATGAGAATGTCCAAATCTCTGCCAAGTTTTCACGTATTTCTGGTAGATTTTGATTTGTACATAAATACTTTAAAACTAACACAAAATAAGAAAAGTGACTATACGCTGCAATACCTTAGTGACTTGTCATTAATTGATCTCGAGTAAAAGGGAATTTACTGTGCCTTTACTTCTCTTTTCTTTGCTTTGTTTTTATTTTCATTTTGCAATAATCCTGACAAGACTTGATGTACCCTGCATTATATTGATTATGTGTTCTACTATGTGTCAAATGTCTGCATGTGACGTACACATTGTTTGTATGACTTGAAATTTCAATAAAGTAAAAAACAAACAAACCCGATTTTAATATATCAAACCCGATTCTAACATTTATTCTGAAAGTCTTTGCCCGGAAGTAGTGTGTAAGTTCCGGTCGCCGGTAGAGGTGGACCGTAGCCGTTAGCAGTGTTAGCAGTGTTAGCTTCTGTTAGCAGTGTTAGCTCGTGTTTAGCCTTATTGTTGAAGATGGGGGAGGCAGACGTGACGCTGAATCAGACCGATGAGAAGCCTCCAGACTCCGGCCTAGTGCCCGGGGAGGACTCGGTGGTCTGGAGCCATGAGGTGGAGGTCTGTCTGTTTCACGCGATGATCGGTCACAAACCTGTCGGTAAGACTCCGCTAACGTTATCAGCCCGGTAACGGCTGTCCGGTCCGACCAGTTCACCCAGTGTGCCTCAGACTGGGAGTCACAGACTGTCTCTGGAAGTCCTGTAGATTATATTTGATCTAATTAGGATCAAACTGAGGATCAGAAACAGTGTTAATGAAATAAATTCAGATTAAACTCAGAGCACAGAGGAGATGTGTTGCTGCTGTGTGGAGGAAGTAATCAGAGTACTCGCTGAGATATACGTTACTACAAGTAAAAGTACAGCATTGAAAGCCTCCCTGCAGCAACAACACTACCTGATAAAGTATGTTGTTGTTGTTGTTGTTGTTGTTGTGTGGGGCAGAAGGCTGAACTCTTAGTTTTATAACGTGTGTGAAGAAGACATGATGATGATGATGATGATGATGATGAGTTAGATAGTTTAGCAACACGTCAGTAACTCTGACCGACCTCAGATGACAGTTGATGATAGATCATGTTGGTTTGATTTTAAGTGGTTAAATTCATTCATCACTTCATTAATTCATTCAGTCATTAATGTGACCTGAGACTGTTCAGTGACTCTGTCATGTTCTCCCACACTGTGTAACTGTGTGCTGTGTAAATAAAGTTTATTATAGTGTAAACAGTGTGTAGTTCTTTGTGTGTAACCCTGTGTGTGTGTTCGTTCAGGTGTGAACCGTCACTTCCACATGATCTGTATCAGAGACAAGTTCAGTCAGAACATCGGACGACAGGTTTCCTCCTCCGTCATCTGGGATCACCTGGGAACCATGTACGACATGCAGGCTCTGGTGAGGATACACACACACACACACACACACACACACACACTGTGTCTGTGCAAGAGCTCTCATCATTTCTGAATCTGTGTGTGTGTATGTGTGTGTGTGTGTGTGTGACGCAGCACGAGTCGGAGATCTTACCGTTTCCAAACACAGAGAAGAGCTTCTGTCTGCCTGATGACATCATCCAGGAGGTGAAAGAAGGTGAGAACATGAATCAGAATGATAATAATTCGTATTTTATTGCAGGTGTGTGAACGTCACACACTAACAGTCAGTGACACGTGACGATATGGTGCCTGCAGCTCCTCTCTGCTGCCAGCTGACCTGATGATGGCGCTGGATCAGTAAAGTTGTTAAAGAGTTCATCCTGAGATGAACATGAACGATTAACCAAAGCTGTTTCTGTTCGAGGAAAAGTTTGTGTCTTCAGCAGCAGCTGCTGACAGACGGCTGGTTAGAGGTCAAAGGTTGTGGTTCAGACAGAACACACACACACAGCACTTCATTAACACTGAAGCTCCGCTCACGTCTTGGTCTGACTGGATACTCAGCTGGTGGTGTTTTGATGCAGCCACTCAGAGTCACTCTGCGGAGTCAAGTCCCTCTGATGGGACATTTAAAGTTGTTAAACTCTGTGTGTGTGTGTGTGTGTGTGTGTGTGTGTGTGCAGGGAAGCTGGGCTCAGAGGAGGAGACCAAAGAGGAGTTCAGGATGGAGCGAGAGCCTCCAGCTACACATGAAGAAGGTACTCGTCATCTTCACAGTGCTGTGGTCACATGACCCGTCCTGGGAGCTGAAAGGGTTAACATGTATGAGCTGAACACAGAGACCCTCTGAAGTGAAACAGTACTGCTGCCGTCACACCAGAGTCAGTGAGACGAGATAAATGTCCTGTCAGAACAAGAAGACATGAACGTGTCGTCTCTCAGCAGAGACAACCAGTCTGACTTTACCTCTGAAGACAGGAAGCTGTTATTGATGTTGTTTCAGCCGCTCCCTGTGAATTCTGTCAGACTTTGAAACTTTGTCCAATCACTGCAACTTTACTACAAATGTAAATATTTAAAGGGATAGTGCACCCAAAACTGAAAATTCAGCCATTATCTACTCACTCATATGTCGAGGGAGGCTCAGGTGAAGTTTTAGAGTCCTCACATCACTTGCAGAGATCCAAGGGGAGAGGAGGTAGCAACACAACTCCACCTAATGGAGGCTGATGGCGCCCCAGATTCAAACGTCCAAAAACACATCATTGAAACCACAAAATATCTCCATACTGCTCGTCTGTAGTGATCCAAGTGTCCTGAAGCCCCGACATAAAAAGTTGTTTGGAAAAACCTCATTTGAACTCTGTTTTTAGCCTCATTGTAGCCTGTAGCTCTGACTGCCTCTCTGGGCACCGCGCTCACGTGTGCAATTGTGTGAGACCATGAGACATGGGCACCGCCTTCATGGGTGTGTGCTTGCTTTCGCTGGTCTTGGACGAGCAGTATGGAGATATTTTGTGGTTTCAATGATGTGTTTTTGGACGTTTGAATCTGGGGCGCCGTCAGCCTCCATTAGGTGGAGTTGTGTTGCTACCTCCTCTCCCCTTGGATCTCTGCAAGTGATGTGAGGACTCTAAAACTTCACCTGAGCCTCCCTCGGCATATGGGTGAGTAGATAATGGCTGAATTTACATTTTTGGGTGCACTATCCCTTTAAACCAGGTAAAAACTGATGTCACTATAGAGCAGCGTGTTGATTCTGTCTGTTGATCACGAGGCTGCTGCAGGACAGACTGACAGAGACGGGCTCAGACTCAGAGTGGTGAAAACGTACATCAGTAACAGACGCCATATTTCATACATATAAATCATCATGGACTTTTTATGGTCAGAATGTCTCACCGAGACATTTTGGTGTTTTTTACTTTTGTCTTTGCAGAGTGAGTTGGTTTGTCCTCAGGTCTGATGAAGGTTACTGACGGAAAGAGACAGACAGACAGACAGACAGACAGAGACACATTTGAAAAGAAACCAAAAGAAGTTTGAGATGAGAACAGAAAAATGATCTTCTGATTTCTGTGTGTGAAAAAATTATGTTTCTGTTTCTTCATCACATTTGTCTCCTCTCGCTGTTTGTCTGTCTCTGTCTGTCTGTCTCTGTCTCTGTGTCCCTGTCTCTCTGTGTCCTCAGGCAGTAACTCATCGGTGAAGATGTCAGAGCGAACCAGCAGTAGTCGGGACAAGGAGCGAGAGCGAGACAAGGAGAAGGGAGGAAGTGAAGGAGGAGCGTCAGGAGGAGGGGGAGGAGCCAAAGAGGCGGAGAAGAGGAAGAGGAGCCGGGCGGCCGAGAAACTGCTGTCGTCTTCCAACCCGGCGAGTCCGGGAGGAGCCAAGAGGAGACGCACCTGAGAGGAGGACAGACAGAGGGACAGAGACAGTGTGTGTGGAGGAGAGAGGAGAAGAATCTGCCGTCACAGGACTCAAACCTGCGAGCTGTGTGTCACATGACTGTCTGCTGTCTGACCTCCAAGGCGCATTGGATGAAGGAGGAGGAGCCTGATGTGTGTTCACTGCAGAGTGATGATGACGATGATGATGACCACAGCCTGGCAGAATCTGTCTCGTTATTTTCAGTTTAGTTCTGATGTCGTTTTCTCTGAAGCTTTTAGTCTCAGTTTGATGTCTGTGTCCAGTTTGTCCCGTGTCCTCTCTCAGACTCATCGTCACGCCCCTGTAACACTGTCCCACACATGATGGACCGTTTAAAGCCCTTCACTTCCTGTCTTCCTCAGTCTGACAGCGACCATCACAGGAAGGACACGCTGCGTTTAGTTTTGGCTGCCGAGCAGAAAAACTGCAAACACTGATACTCTTTGGTTAGTGAGGATAGCTGCCGATAGCTACCAGGGAAAATGACAGTGCATCCACTTCCTGTTTTGGTCGTGCAGTTGTTGACGCACTTCCTTTGTGCCATAAATGGAAAACCTTTTCACACAGAGATGGCGCTAAAGAGCCACCACAAAGTCACGTCTTTATTTTACACAGAACCAAACGACGGCGGCGTCATGTGGCTCCAGTGTGTGATGTCAGACAGCATGATGACATCACAGAGTCAAAAGAAGCGTGACATGTAACACAACAGCGTCGGCCTCTAGTGTGACATATAACAAACATGTCCACAGCTCTTTATGAACAATAACAATGACATCACATGTCAATAACAATCATTTAGCGTCCCTGTTATATGGCGGCTGATCTCGTCCTCTGCTTGGAGGGTAAGGAGCTCCTGTTAGCTGCTAACTGCTAACAGCTGCCCTTAAATCTCCTGTGGTGGGTCGCACACATCATCAGTCCGTCACACCCGTCCTGTCAGCTGTCCCTTTGACACAGGTGTTGATTTGGTGCGGTCACTACCTTGGCTGCCGGCCTAAAGGTGACGCAACTCCGTCCTCCACTCCACGGTCGCATCTTTTGTACAGAGCGGTGAGGCAGAATAACGGTGCCACATTTACGCCCTGAACAGGAAGTGTAAATGGAGCTAGTTCCTTTATTTTCCCTGGCAGCAGACACCATGAGAGTGATGTTGACAGGAAGCCAATGTAAACACAGATGGTGTCATTCTTCTGTAGCCACGGTTACTCTGAATCAGTGTTTAAATTAAAGCAACAAACTCAGTTCAAACCGAAGCAGCGGAACCAGACGGCGCCTTTTTTTCCACACAGTTTCTGTTTTTCTGAAAACATGCTGCCTACATTTCCCACAATGCAGTTGTCCGAGGTTTTGGCCGTGTTGTGCCAGTAGCAGCTGATGTAGCTGGAGCCTGCAGCAGAGACGAGCGGCGGCCTGCAGAGGTCTCACTTCCTGATAACTCCACGCCGCCATGTTTTATTCTTTTATAGTCTTCAGCAGATGCTGACTCGAGTGACATCACAGGAGGACGTTCCTCAGACTTGACACAGTCGGTCAGAGACTCTGACGGCTTCATACTGCTGCTGAAACATGCACCAGACTCTGTCCCTTAAGACTGGCCCTCAGCTCTCAGGTGTCTCTGTGTGTCAGGTGTGTCTGTGTGTGTCAGGTGTGTCAGGTATGTCAGGTGTGTCTGTGAGCAGCCTGCAGGAAACAGCAGGTGTAAACGTTTCCTGTCGCCATGTCACAGAAAGGTTTTTATTTACAGCCCTGATCAATACTCTTTGGATAAAGATTCAACATGATCGATCATCAAGTCTCTGTCAGGAACCACACGCAACCAGTGCGTCAATAATAATTCTGTTTTTATCATCATTATCTTAAACATCAGGAAGTCAGCTGTTATTGAGACTAGAGAGAGGACTCGGGTTTTATTGAGACTAGAGGGAGGACTCGGTTCATGTCTCGATGTGACTTGTTGCGGTCAGCAGCTCAGTGAAGATCATGTGACGATGGTTCAGGAGGTTTTTATCAGCTGACTGTTAAATATGAGGCAATAAATCTCAGCTGTCATGGTTTTTTTTTTTTAATGGATATTACTGAGTGTTTTTTATTTTCCTGTGTGTGTGTGTGTGTGTGTGTGCGTGTGTGTGTGTGTCAGAGCTGACCACAGAGTCAGCTGACAGCTCATCTTCAGACCTTCAGAATAAAACGTTGGCGGACATGTTTAATTTATTGATGTGTGCTGAGCTGATGTTTGAGGCTGTTTGTGTCATTAAAGATGAACTCAGATCAGGCCACGCCTCCTCGTCTTACTCAACACATTTAACTTCAGCTGCTCGTTCTCATGTGTTCACCTTTAATTTCATGTCACATCTCAGAGAGAAACACTCAGAGAGAGACTGCACAACAGTTTAGTGTTTAGAAAAACATTTGAACTGAAACTTTAGATTATTAAAAAGAGACGTTTGTGTTGATTAACTGATCAAACGTTTATAAAGAAGTTAAAATTATTTTGACTGACAAACTGTGACATTAAAATTCTGTGTCTGCATAAACACACCAACAATCTGACGCACTGACAGAATATATTTCATATATACTGAATATTTCTGGACTGAAGTAAAACCTCTAACGGAGGTGAGAACACATCGCTGAGGATGTTAAACATCAGTATAAAGAGCTGAAGTGTCAGTTTCATACAGCAAAGGGTTGTGGGTAGAACTGGAACCTGCACCTGCTGCAGTGAGGACACGGTACATTGTGTACCTGCATGAAGAAAACAAACAGATTTTGATCAGATGAACTTTAGGACAGAGTGATTTTAGGTTTTTAGCTGAACTTCCTGTTTGTTTTTTCTGGTTTCCTGTTTGGATCAGTTATTAAATATGTATAAATATAAAGTCAGATTGATTAAACAATCTGCTGTCGGTCACAATCAAACCAGCAGACTTTTATTGTGAAGTTGAAGAATCCTCAGGCTGATGCCAAATAAATTTCATAATAAGCTGGAGGAAGCTGCAGTGTGTCCATGTGTCCACAGGGGGACGCTGTCCTCCTGCTGAGGGACCGAACCACAGCTGAGTGCTCAGTCTCAGCAACAGAAAATAACCTCAGAGGGTTCATGGGTCAATTAAACAGATCAGACTGTGTGTGTGTGTGTGTGTGTGTGTGTGTGTGTGTGTGTGTGTGAGTAATGGAGTAAACAGATAAATAATGTACACATGGAGCGTCAAAGGTCAGGTGAAGGTCAGGTGAAGGTCACAGTCTGCATGGTGATAAAGGTGAGAGCTGCAGGAGTCCAGTTTTTATCTGTCGAGCTTCGTCATGTGGTCTTTAACTCCTCCTCCTCCTCTTCCTCTTCCTCAGGAGACTCAGCTGTATCTTTATTTCTGTTTGGGACCTTTCAGAGTAAATGTGATTCAGACCCTATTTATTCACACTGTCACATCAGTCTTCCTCCTCTCCTCATCATCGTCTGTCTTTTTCCGTTAACGTCAGAATTGATTTTTAATTATTTTAATAACTTTTAAAGCTCAGCCTGGTTTAACCTCCAGTTGTACAGCTGAGCCTCCGAGTCCTGACCTGAAGCCCTCGAGTCTGCCCTCACGTGTCCCTCGGTCGAGGTCGCCGTTTGCCATCGAGGCCTCGAGGCTCTGCAGTTCTGTCAGGTCTGTTACACATCACCTGCCTCAAACATATTTTGAAAGGACACATTTTCTTTTAATGTCTGATTTGTAACTTGTGTTCTGCCTCGGTGCACACTGTGTCTCTCAGCAGTTTCAATAAAGCATTATTGTACAGTTAATGTGTAAATCAGTGCTTTACAAATAAAGTTATTAATATTATTATTATTTTCCATTTTGTCTGCTTCTTCACTTTGATCGTCAACAACAGCTGGATCATTTTCACTGAACACATGAGAGAAACAAGCTGCTCACTGACAACAGGCTCGTCACATCATTTAACAGTATTATTCCAAAAATGACTCACTGGACAACACAATCAACTCTTTCATAAACTTCCTTAATATTAATGATTTTATTTTCCTCTCTGTGGTCAGTGATATTTGCAGCAGACTCCTCTGTGATCACCGACTCATGCTTAATGAACCTGAGTGTTAAAAGTCTTCACAGCTCAAACCACTGAGTTTTATCTATTCATTTTTTGTTCCCAGTTTCACTTTTAAACGCTCAAAGCACAAAGCTCTGCCTAATAATAATAATATTATTAATAACCGATCAATATAATATTTTTGGAGCTCTGATGTTGAACTGTCAGTTTTCAGTCCAGTCCTCAGAGGCGGGGAAACAGCGCCGCCTCTGCTGCCCATGCTGCTCAACGACACCGTGTGTTAGTGGTGAAGCAGGGTATGACACCCTGACAGCAGCTGAGGCTCATCACCTTTGATTACAATCAACACGATCAGGTGGTCGCTTTGTGACGTCACTGACGAACCGTCCGCACGTGGACGTGAACGTGGAGTCAAACCTTCAAACTAAAGACGCTGCCGGAAGTTACGATTCAAAGTAAAAAGTTTTCCTGAAGATAATTTTAACTAAATGACGTCATTAACAGCGACTTCAGCGGGACGTTTGTGACGTCATGGACACGAAGGGAGGAGAGGACAGGTCCTGCGTCAGATGACGTGAGTCAAATGTTTGTTCACTGTCTGTCCGCCTGTCTCACTCTCTGTCTGTCTGGATTACCCTGCAGACAGTGAGACGTTAGAGGACCTGGCTGTGTCCTCTGTAATCTGTCCACAGGGACACAGTGAGACAGGTCATATTCACAGTTAACTGGTTATTGACTGTGAAAGCTGTGCTTGTTGTTGTTGTTGTTGTTGGTCAGTGGTTTCCAACTGGTGGGTCGTGGTCCCAAAGTGGGTCACAGGACCACAGTGACTCACAAACATATCAAGTTTATTAAGGAACACACTTTATTTTGAAGCAGCTACAGTGAATTTTTCCATCACAGAGCTTTTATTTTGAAGAGCTGTTTCCTGCTGCAGAGTGACAGACTAACAGACACATGTCCAAACTCAGATATGATGCTGAATCAGATCTGGATCTGGTGGTTTGACCCCGGGGCCCAGGGGCGCCACTGCTGTCAGCCATGTTGGCGTTAAGACCAGAGGAGTGCGTCCGTCCTAACGCAGCACTGAAGCGCTCTAAACGTCTGTTTTGACATTCGTAGCAGAAATTATAATGTGTTCATCTTAACAGGTAAAAATATGACGTGTGAACATGTCGATGTGCATCAAGTCAACAGAAAATGTTAACAAACATGTCTGAAGACGTTTAAAACATTAAAGCCACCGTGTCATTGGCTGAGGTCAACATACCCGCCATCTTGTTGATGTAGTGACTGCATTGGACTCTACCTTTCCTACGCTGTGGTCTTGTGGGCTCCTGTTAGTCACCTGTCTGCGGCACCACTGCAGTATTTGGGAGAGTCCATTTTGTGTGCGGGGGGGTTAACCCTGTCTTGGTGACTGAGGACAGTGAATGTCCTCTGGAAGCTTTTTAAGCCTCCGTGGTCGTTACGTACCGCCGCCTGTGTGTTTCCATCCAGAGTGAATTATATCAAAACAGGAAACAGGAAGACTGAGCTTTGTGTCCACCTCGTACCGTCCGTCCCTCACGATACCTCGCTGAGTTATGGGCATCGCTTCTGGGCCTGAACCAGAACTGATGTGCTCCTGTGGTAATGATACAAACCGTAAGCTAACGGTAAGCTAACGGTAGGCTAACGGTAAGCTAACGGTATGCTAACCCTCTTTTCTCGAGGAATTTGGAAATAAATTGTGAAACACAGGACACATGTTCTTGTTAACAGAACATTATGACCTCATATTTAAGACTTTATATTTTGACCTGTTAAAATGAACAATAGTAACTTATTAATACGAAGGTCAGATGAGACGTTGAGAGCGCCGCAGCGTTCCATCAGGACGACCTGGATCTGATGACATGAAGACAACATGTCGGGAGGAGGGAAACAGGAGGCAGACACAAAGCTCTCAGTTAGTCACTTTCAGTTTGTTTGATCAGTTACACGCTGATTGATTTATTTAAATGTATTTATTTTTGTTTTTATTTTCTTCAGAGCACCGCTGTGACCTCGGCCCTCCATCATTCAGCAGCTCCAGTTCCTGATAACCTTGTATTTAAAGTACGAAGATGAGTGAAAGACAGGACGTGAGGTAGGAACAAACTGTCTCTATTGTCTCCTGCCAACAAACTGTGTCCCATGACGAGACCACCGACACATGTTAGTGTTCAACACTGATCTGGATCAGGTCTCAGCTGCAGCTCTGCGTCATATGTTTGTATCCTGAGATTGTCAGTCACAAAGCCACCACACAGAGGCGCTACAGATCTGAATACTTCAGTTTGAATATCTTTATTAGTTTTACTGTCCTGCGTATGAGTACATGAGGAGGTCTGTGTTGATTTGTTTTGGTTGCATGATGATGAGAGATTTGAGTTTTGTTTCAGAGGAAACTTCTGTAGCTGAATGTCTTTGTCCTGAGACAGACGGCCGAGGAGTCTGTCTCTGGACTGAGCCGTTTAATGACGTGTAGCTCTGATTGTTAGCACAACATCATGGTAACAGAGTCTTGTAAACCCAGCAGGGTCGGGCACATGTACGTGTGCGTGACACACATGAAAATCAAAAAATCAAATCAATCAAATCAGTCACTGATGTTAAAGCTCCAGTGGGAAGGACTGACACCAGTATGGTTGTGTTCTTGTTCCCTCAGAATGAGACGTTCATGTGTTCATAGTCAGCAGCTCATCAACGAGAGAGATGAGAGTGTTTCTTGGTGTAAATCAGCTGGTGTGTTTTTTTCTGAGAGGAAGAGACCTCTGAGGATAATTCAGCTCCTTATTGTGTTCACAAACATCCTGAGAGTCACAGAGCTGCTGACTCATCAACATCTGAGCTCAGGAGTGATTTAGCAAAGTTGTCAGAGCGACTCTGAGCGATGAAGGGACAGACAGTGTGACCTCACTGAGGTCTGCTCTGTTTCTTTTATCCTGTTTCAGCTCATTTTAGGTTTGAATGTGTTGTGTGAATTTATTTTGGTTTAAAATCTATTGATATCATAAATGAATATTGTCGATCACATCATGAGCAAAAAAACCATCTGACCTGCTGAAAGTTGCTGTGAGTTATGAAGTGATTCTCTGCACTGCTGTTAGCGTGTCCCGTCACATTGTCTTCACTGCTTCTCTGTCAGCCATACAGACTGCAGAATCAGACCTGACATAGGAGAACATCCTGGTACTTT